GTTGAATCACTTTCCTCAACATAGACGATGTTTAAGTTCATGCTTATTATATTTTGACGGGCGGCACGATCAGAGCATAAGATTGGCTCTAAATTAACTTTCTGACTCACATAGTTAGCATATATAAACCCCCTCAGTGCACATTATGTCCGGTTTTGTACCACGGAATAAAGCTTCGACTCGCTTCGACCATAGTAGTACCGGCTCTGGCGGTGTTCAGCAAAACGTCAACTTATGACTGTTACCATCTCAAATGACGGACAGGCTTTGATGGGATTTTTAGAAACTTCTTTGGATGGTTTACCCAGAAGAAATACTCTTTACACCTTCATCTGTTTATGCGAATAGTTGACATTCTAAGTAGCATACAATCACTGATACCTAAAAATCTTGAAAGATTTCTTTTGCAGAATCCCTGTTTTCCAAGCTGAGACATTCATTTTCACATGGCCAGGAAGAACCAAAAAGCCAGTCCAGCGTACACACAGGTATACACGCCTAGCGGCGCTCAGCTCAGCTTTTTTTTATGATTTTACAAGAGTTTCTGAATGAAGTTCAGAAGGGTTCTCGCCACTATATCACTTCTTTTCTGTCTTTCGCAGGATAAGCTGGAGAAGCAGCAGGTACAAGCATGTCATGGGAACATGGGTCGCTACACAGGCGGCAGGTCATGAGTTCGGGTTATCTTGCACTACAGCTTTTGCTTCTTCCCTAATAGTTCCTTTTCTTTCACGTTCTTATGTTTTGATGGCATTTGCAAAAGCTTCATAATGGAGTTCGGTTGGTGTTCTGTGCAAGAGGTACAAGAATAGGATTGCAGTTTGCAGGTTTATTACCGGTATTATTAATGAAGATGTGATTGTTGTGCATGACATGAGTGAGCAGATGCTTAATATCCTGGAGCAGTGCGAGGAGGTGGACAGTGGTCGCAGCTTCCTCCAGGTCCTTGGTTACCGTCATCTCCTGGTCTTCCGTCATTTCCAGGCCTTCCATCATTACCAGGTCGTCCATTGTCTCCAGGTAGTCCTGGTCCACCATCTCGTCCTGGGTTTCCTGGTGCACCTGGCTGTCCATCGGGACCAGGAGCTCCTCGAGGTCCAGGAGGTCCAGGGGGTCCTTGAGAACCAGGTCCTTGGGTGAGTACTCCTGGGGGTCCAGGAGGACCGGCATTTCCAGGCTGGCCTGGGTTTCCGGGTAGTCCTGGAGGACCCAAGGGACCTGGTCCTCCGGGATTTCCAGCGTTTCCTGGCCGGACCATCAGATCCAGGATTTCCTGGTGCTCCTTTGTTTCCTGGACTTCCAGGTGGACCAGGAGGACCGGGAGGGCAATTGAAGCATGGTTGTGGAGGAGGAGGAGCTGGCGTGGCTGGTGGCCCATCAGGACCATTTCTGCCAGGCTGCCCTGGTCGACCATCAGATCCAGGTTGTCCGTCTTGTCCACGAGGTCCAGGAGGTCCAGCTGGAGAAACTCCACATCCACAGCATCCACCGGCCTGACGGGCCTTCCTGGTAGGTGCAGCAAGAACCTAAACTCACCCCATTATTGGTTCCGACAAAATATTGAGAAGAGGAGCTTTGAATGACACCTGAGTACGAGTGACTTCTCTCCAGATGTTCCCTGAGCGTGACTTGCAGAAGTCGACTTCGTTCTGCATGACGGACTGCATGTGCTGCATGTAGTTGTACAGCATGGGCACGGAGATCACACAGACGAGGGTGGCCACGGTAGAAAGGGCCACGCCGAAGAAGGCGATTCTTCTGAGGTGAAGTGCCTCCGCTTCCCAGTGCTTCTCGTCGCCGGTCATGCTTGTGGAGTGGATGTAGACAATCAACCCCTTCTCCTTTTATACCACAGACGCACAGACAACATTCCAGTGACACCGTTTTAAAAGCAGAGATTACGTAAGTTTAAAGTAGGTTATCAGTGACGACCGAGAAAAACACGGAATCATCTTCATAAAACTTAAAAGATGAAACCAGATTGACCCTATTCACAATTTCGATGGCTGAATTTCGCCACGTTCCTCAAGGAGCTTCAGCAGTCTCACTATGGAGGGAAGTTAGTGGAAATTATTAAACAAGTCTCCCCAGAGAGGAGGAAAATACCATATCTACGTGAAATTGTGGATGCCTTTGGAGGAGAACCCACCGGTTGATCTGGACGCGACATGCACTTTGTTCACTCGGCTTCTACGTGACAGCTTGCTTTGCGCACACTAGGAAAAGCAGCATAGTAATAAAAGATGCTGCTTGGATTACATGGCTGCTCGGCTCCAGTCGTGCATGCCATGAAATCCAGACTGCGCCGGTCAAAAAGGCTTTCATTCACACACGGTGATAGTAACTCTCTACTTGTCTGTGTTAAGACCCCTAGTGCGATAATCCCCCAAACTGGGTTTACCAGCGATCAGAAGAGTTGTTAAGGCTCGTTTTGTCCGATGTTTGTTTTACAGGAAGAGCCATTCGAACAGGCCTTGCCAGGATCGGGACCAGCACAATATCCCGTGAAATTAGCAGCATCAGTGCAACTCCAAGTATCCGGTATAGAGTGCGTTCATAAATCTTGGAGTATGGGCAGAGAGGTGGTGGATGAGAGCTCGTATGTGTGAGGGCATCCTTGAGTTACTAGTGCAGGATGGAGTGGACATCACCTCGAGTGATGTCTAAGTTTGAGAGTAGCCTCTCTTCTTCTTTCGTTTCCAGACGAGAGTCGTCTGACACGGGAGGAGGGCGTTGTGTCAGCCCTGGTAACTTTCCCGGTGTCTCACTTAGAAACTAAATTTGTAATCCTCTCCTCTAAGAGTTATGCATAGGAGAGAGCAAGGAGAGAGATGTTCACGCAGCCTACAAACACAAAGAGAAGAGCCAACTTCGCTGGGCGTTTTGTGTTTGCTTATATGAGCTTGCGTCTCCTGGCTAAAGTCTACAAGAAATTTATTTTGACTAGTGGAATTTTTCGTCTCCAAGTTTGTCTGGAGAGTTGTGCACACCGTACCGTCTTTGGTTCTATATCTGGTCTGTTCTTGCGGGATCAGAGCGCGGTCTCACAGTATTTATCTATAGTTGTACTAGGCATTGTACAGGGAGCGCCTGGTTGACGCTAGTTTGCGGCTGATCTCTTTCTCCTATCATGGCACGGTTGGAACGCTTATATTGCGGACCCTCTGAAGAGCTCTCCAGGAGCCCTCGGCTCTGACGAACTGGAGCCTCTCGCACCTCGAGGAGAGCATGCACCTAGAGTTGTCTGCTGCAATCTGTCCATTGATGGTGCCGGGGCTGCAGAGGCGGCCGAGAGCGCGTCAACATCTCTAGTTACTCATCTATGCACGATTTTCTGAAATACATTCGCACCTCACTTCAGCCCAGATAAAGACCTGCCCGTCTAACTCTCTCGAAGTATACAGGAGAAGTTTCGCCAACCTTGTATACCTTTTGGGCCGGATGAGCACACTTTGCCTCTTTAGTGCGAGAACAATGTCGAGTCATGACGTGAGTCAGCAGAGGGATCTTCCAGATTAGTCTCCCTTGTCCCAAGCGTCTCTAGGAAACGTTCTTTTTCTCCACCGTGCTTGCACATTTACGCCTATCCGTTAACCACCAATCCTGTCGTCCCTACGGTCTCTCGCTTGCGACCGAGACATGGCATGTGAATGGATGAACTAGGGAAAACCTCAGCCCTACGAGGAGAAGCGTGTTGAGACGCGAGAGAGTCATGCTTTTCATGTCGCAAGCACCCTTGAAAAGGGGTCCCTAACGCGCGCGGATCGAGTCCCCCGGCTGCCGGATTCCGCGAGAGTCACCCGTTAGTGTACTGAAGAGACCAAAAAGTCGGCCCAACTAATGACGAACGCCCTAATTATAGGCCGATGTCCACTCAGGAATACTGCGAGCTTGAGTAATTTTGCCAAGGGACGCTATGATGTCTTTCAGCGAGGCGGTCAAAGCGCGCAGCGGTGAATTCTTGGCGACATAGGTTGGCTTACTTGAGCCCCCAGGCGCTTGCGGATGGGGAAAAATCCTTCTTCCTTCCAACTTGGTTCTATTCCTCGGCCTCCGTGCACCCTTTCCAGACCGCTTGTAGTATACCTGTCTCATGCTTATTAAACACCAGTCTTGGTACAGTTATGACCACCGCGGATAAATCTTATGGGCCCTCGCCGCAACCGACTTGCGGTGAGATTATCCAATCAAATATGTATCCCGTCCCTGTTCGCCTACTCCTTCTCCTACCGCTCACTACACGATTTCGACCGCACTGACTGTTCACAGAGGAGACGCACTTCACGCACGACGTCTTCAAGAGATTTTGCTGCTGCTAACAAGGGAGCGTTCAGGCCGTGGTGAGCTTTTTCAAAACGGTTTGTTGCATGTTGTAGGGGTCCATGCGAGGACCATAGCGATGGGGTTCATTTTTGCTAAACGGTTCTGGGAATGTCAAAAAAAGGTCAAAACAATTCGAAAGAATGGGCTTTTTTTGAACGCAGCCTTTGTGCGCCTGCTGTTCTAGCTGTAGCGTTGACAGGGTATAGTATGTAGGGTATCCTTTGAGCAGGCATGAAAAACAGCGCAAAATAAGGTCAAAATCCAAATGGTCTACTTGGCATGCGGTGAGCTGCATTGGAGTTTTCCGGTCATCGCATATCTCTTCAACAGGTCCTGTATCTCCAGTGTCGCAGTGGCAGATGGTGTGGTGGATAGTGCGACGGGCTCTCGGTCGGTGGGTTTATGGATCGGATCCCCTTGCCGACACAACTTTTGCATTTTTCACATTTCTTGCTTCTTGTATTCCTGTATGCCCCATAATGTGTATGATACATACAGGGGGAGCCAAAAAAAGTCATTTTGCCTCCATGACTTTCAAGGCGCTATAAGTTACACTTTATTAAATTTTTATCGGACATTTTTACTACCATATTAAAGAGCACATTAAATACTATAATGATACTCCGCCACAGCCTTCTGGAGGAGCGCCATCGAGAGATTCGGCCGCGCGAAAGTGAGTGGGTACCGGAGTTGAGCGAGATCGTTGATTTCTCCGCCACCGTAGACCACCCTATTGAACTCCGCCCAAACCGGGTAATTGAGGGATTACAGGTCAGGTGACCTACTTGGATATTCCACCTCTTTAGGTATTCAGCCCCCTTCCATTCCAAGTAGGCGAGAGTTTCTCCAATGCCCTTCGATTCCATGTGGTGGCACCCAATGCTGTAGCAGTACAAAGTTTCCAAGAAGGTACGGGCGACGATATGTGAGGAGGATATTCTTCACGAGTTGCTCGATGTAGCCACCAGCGCACACCCTCAGTCTGGGGCCCACGAAGAAAATATCGGTTCATCCATTCCAGGTACGGCCGGTCCACACCATCAACCCGCGCCTTGGTGAATGGGGTGAAGATGATGTCCTGGACCGTAGCGACGTTGCCGGAGCTGCTCGATGTTTGAGGTCTTGCAGATCAAGACTGGTCTCCAGGTAGCTATCCATGGGTGATTCCATTCAAGAAGTTCCGCAGCTGTTTGGAGGCCACGTGAATTCCAAAGGCGTTCTCCACTCAGGCCGCGACTGGAGATGACTGAAGGTGAATGGCGGCAGCCGGCTCCTGCTTATAGAGGAAGATCTTGGGTATCTTCCGCCCTGGTACTCATATCCACTTCCTCTGTCTGGGCTGCGAAAACTTCGCTCATATGTGACTCGGCCGGAATGACTTTTTTTTGGCCCCCCCCCTGTAAATGCCATTTGAAGGCACATTCCATGCGGGAACGGTTCACAAATAGGCCTCACTCAATTATTACGCTCGCGAAATACTATCGAAAACTCTTCATGAAACTTGGGTTACGGCGGTTATCCGATGCTCATGAACATGACACTCATTTTTGAATATGGCGCAATGTGTCGGCTAATATTGGTTGCAAAGGCGTTTCTCATACTACCATCATTGTCAGTCTGCGCGGCGGGGCTATTTAGCGCATACTGGCCCAGATGGCCTCCGCGGCAAAAATAAATATCTGAACCGTGATCAGGACCATCAATACTTACGTAAAAAATTCCGAGCTTTTGTACTAGGTTGGCGGCCATAGTTTTTCCAGCTAGTGGGCTTATCACGCCCCCCCCGTCCCTACCATTCCGCTCTCCCTCCCCGAAGAGTCGTTATCCAACATCGTTAAGAGGAAGCTTTTCATTTGCCAGTATACACAAAAAAGTGACGCACATACACTGCACTCCTCTCATACCTTTGATATGAGAAACAAAAACCTTTCTCCGGGCAAGTGGTAACGAGTTCTTTGTCGAAAGCATAGACGGTAAAAGTGAAGAAAGATCCAGGATGCTCGTTTAGTGGCTCCGAAGCTAGCACGATGTTCTATGAAGACCTACTGAAGTTGAGGGGCAAGAAATGAAAAATTTCTGGCGGTTCGTCTGCCAGAGAGGATACTTAACGGAGGGTTCGCCTGTCACTGCCATCCAAATGGTCAGGTCCATGACCACTAAAGAAACTCGAAAAAAAATTTTTTCGCTGAAACCTCTTAAACAGGGGTAATCAATGGCCCTGATCACGATTCTGACATTTATGGCGCCGACGTGATCTGGGGCCAGCGTGGCGCTAAAAGGCCACTGCGAGCGCGAAGGGATGCTGCATAAGCCCCTAAAGAAATTGCAGTGTACCTCACTGTATGCCAAGTAAGGCACTTGTATTTCGACCTTATTCAATGTTCCTTTATAAACTCTATGTATTCTGCTTTACAGCTGAAACAGATGCGAATGAGATGATAAAACTTGCGTATTTTAAGCGATTTGTTTTTATTCCTTTTTT